AAACATTTCTATTGTCTATGCACCTTCTTACCTGGATCATTACTTAAAAAATATATATACTTGAGCCTACGATAATTTGAAAACTAGTAACCTGTCAGCGGATAACTTCAAAAACGTACTCGACCTCGATGGGTCGACACCTGAGCCCGCGATACGGTCAGGTGATACTCGTCAGCGGATACCTAGTTTTGACAGCTGTCAATTGACCCATGGATATTATCCATGATTAATCCCAACATTGATGTGCAATCAGTTTCCTCCCGGGCTCCCAAAGTAGTTAGAAAGTGTGAAAGTTACATTGGTTTTCCTGTGGTGCGAACGGACGGTCGCTCGGTCGGTGTACGGTCACGTGATTGCCAAAATTTCTCGGAATGGGTAGATTTCCTTAGCTATGGGATCCGCCCACGCGCGCGCTTCGCGCGGGCGTGGAGCTCCGCTATAAAAGGTTGGTTTAAATATTAACCGAGAACCAGCATCAAGTTTTTATTGTCTGGACAATAATTTCTGTAAAAAAAAACCCCTCGTTAATACGGTCAACCGTTAATACGGCCAACGAACACATTTTAAAATGCTAGACAGTAGTATCTTTTACAATTTCACCTTGTTAATACGGCCATTAGTCAGAAATTTCTAAAATTAAAATGCCTGTGACATGTCAATTACACCTTTTGCTGTTCATTACGAGAAAATACGCATTCATTTGCGTGAAAAGGCGACCAACAGCGCGAAGATACATTCATTAGCGCGAAGAAGCGAACATTTGCGCGTAAATCAGATTCAATAACGATTTTTGCATTTTAATTAACATTCAATAACATTTTTGGGCATTCATTTGCGTCATTCGACATACAAAAGAGAAAAATATACTTTCATTAACGCCAACATTCGAGTCATTAACATTATCTTGAAAATCATTAGGGAAAATAGACAAACATTTAAGTGCAAACGCTATTCATTAACATTTTTATGACACTGTTCGCAATTCAATAGCATTCCTGGACAGCTTTAGAATGGATGAGACAAACATTAATGCGCTTGTACAATCAATTGAGCGTTCCTTACATTTAATCTACAAAAATATATTTTCAATTAAACAATACCAATTCCCCCCCAAAATTGGCCTGAATTTGTTTAAAGAATCACGCCGTACTTCGCCACTAATATTCTTGTTTCAGAGTTTGCTCTCTGTTCTCCCACTCCTGGCACTGTGCCTGGTCACTCCACGCCTCGACCCTAAAGAGTCATGACAGGGAAAAATAAAACAAGTTTTTTATCTCCTTTTATAGACTGACCCTCTTGACTCTATGTTACCTTTTCTTTGTTGAAGCTATACCCGAAGAAACTCAAGAAAATGAAAGCTAAGGATAGGCAATTGTATACAGTTGAGATAAATACGAGAAGGGAAAAAAATCAATAAGTCCTATTAGCAAAATAACAACTTTGCACGTGCAGCACACTATTTTGTACATTTCTTTGTCGTTGTTTTGCAAACTCGCCTCCTTTTATTAATAGGGACTTTTAGCACCGACGGTTTTCAGGACGGCTACGGGAACCGGAAATGAAGTCAGACTCTTTTTCGCGCGCGCGAGTGTCACCCTCCGTTTCTTGCCGCCGTAGCGGCCTTCCCTAGTACTTCAAACCGAGTAGTTTGACGTACTGGCGACTACGGGAGTTTTAGGTGAGTATTTTATTAACCTTTTAATTGACTTTTAGTGTTTTCATTTGAAAAACAACTTCTTATTTCTTTTCTTCATAAATTTAGACCAGTTTTCTTTAGAATTGGTTTGATATTTTTGCTTTATTTACGCTTTTTTCACAGGTGTGGAAGACGGCATGTCGGTCGAAAAGCATCCCAAGTGAGCTTATTTTTGTACATGATTTTGCTTGTCCTTTACGTTTTCATTTTGATATATAACGCTAATACTCTTTATCTAAATTGTTTCTTAACGTTTGGAAGAGGGTTTTTCTTTCAAGTTTTTATCTATTGTTATGTTTCAGTCACCGAATATCTTTTTTATAGCTAGACAAAACATTCCTTTTTTGCCTATGGCCGCTTTAATTTTGATATATAACTCTTGATGGTGTTCAGCTTCAAGTCGGGCATCAAAATGAAAGGCGAGAAGCATTTAAACGTGCTCATATGAGTTGCAAGACGTGATAACGGGCTGTATTCATTGAAGGACATCCTCCTTTAAATTTCTCTGCAAGTGGCTACTGTCTCGAACAAGTTTTTCGCCGCAAGATAGGAAATGAAACAGAAAGAATAATTAAGCTTAAGCTTATAGCTGTAACCACTTGCAGTCCTTGACTGATAATTTTTATTTGAGCAAACATTGTAAAAATCTGATTTAAGCTGGAATCAGTGGAATCACGGTTGAATTTTCTTAATTGTTTCGCTGTTTGTTGATAAAATTTGTAGCATCGTTTCCAAGATTCAATGATTTGTATGTTATTTCTAAGCCATGATCTAGAATCCCTGAATAGCTGAGGGGCTAGTCAGGTTAAAAACTCGTGTCTGATTATTTTGTCTTACTGTAGGGCTGCAATGGAGTGGACCCAAGACCATGATTTGATGTTGCTGAGAGAGACTGCGTTTGAGGACCCTTTTCAATTTAAAAAAGGAAGTCCTGACAGAGGTGAAGTGTGGTCGAAGATAGCAAGGTCGCTCAATAGTTCTGCAGAATTAAAGTTTGCCGTAAAGCAGAGATCAGTGAGGGAGAGGTTTGCACTATTACAAGCTAAGTATAAAGAAAAAAACAAAAAGGATGAGGCAAGCAGTGGAACATCAACACAAATGTCAGAACTGGACCGGTTATTGGAAGATATCACTGAGAAAGAGAAAGATAGCGAAGAGAGTAGGAATGCTGCAGCTGCTAAGAAAGATAACCAAGACAGAGAAAAGGCAGAAGGCATTAGAAAGACAGCTATGGAAAGGGTAAGTCAGACTAAGAAACGACAGGAAGGGACAGAGCGTGAAGCAGTGAGCACTAAACGAAGACGCAGAGGTGGAGATGAGACTATAGAATACCTTAGAGAAAAAAGTGAGGCAGAAAGAAAGGTACGAGAGCAAGAACTGGAACTGAAAAAGGCAGAGGTGGCACTACAGGAAAAGCGGGCAGAGCAAGGCCAGACCCAGATGCAGGAGATGTTGAGAGTAATGCAACAACAGCAACAGCAGAGTCAAAACATGACAGCTTTGCTAATGCAGCAACAACAACATTTTATGAATGTAATGCAAAGTCTTCTTAAAAAGCCACAGTAGTTATGATTTCGTTAATTGAAACTTTCCTCGTTGCTTTAAAGTACCCTTCAGTGTGAAATATGACATTTTGTCTTGCCCTTTTTTAGCTTGGCAGGGTCTATTTAATAGTCATGCAGATTTGATTAATTAATCTGTTGTAATCTATTTGAGTATAGTTTTATCAAGTTTGTGGACATTAAACAACCTTTGGAAACAGGTTTGTTCGCTCGACTGGTAATGCAGTCAGATAGTGGCGTATTTGTGGATTGCCTTAAATAAACTATTAATGAGAATCCCACACTTAAATGCAGAGATTTTCTTCGACGACTACAGTTCTATGCATGACTACAATTTTATTTTCAGTTGATGTCTACAGGTAGCCCAGTAAGTTACATCAAGTAGTAAAGGCCATGACTATTCTACTCAAGAATGGTTTTTAGAAGCACTCAACATCTATAAACAGTGCTATCATTGCTTTTTGATTTAACTTTGTGAAGTACATCAGTTAAAAAAAAACACAGAGAAGAATCTTGTAGTAAACCCATCTGATCTACAGTTATGTTCACTGTATACAGTGAAAAGAAGAGAACCGTAAACAGCAAAAAAAATCAAAGATATCTGTATAATGGACATGACAAAGAATACAGTCTAATCTTACAGGCTGTAGCTGGATGGTTTTATTACCCTTTTACATTGTCCAGTTGAAAAGCTAGTAATGATTGCTAAGGTTTTATGGTTCTCTTCATGCAAAGTAGTCCTGAATGTGTGGAGGCTCCAGTCCAAAAAACTGGGAGGTTTGATTGCCATAAAGACAAGTAAGTGCATTTCTTAAAAGACCAGATACCACATATAATTTCCCAACACTACTGAGCTCTATTTTTAAATTTTTTTTGAAGTCCAGAAATTTAAAATAATTGGCTATGTCCCCAAATAACCATTCTACGGAGACCCTGACTTCACTCATGCTTTTATTGTAAGCAGCCATTTGGGGAGTGAACCCAACACCCTGTCGAAAAGGCGCTTGCAAGTGGACCCTCAAAGGGTACGCAGGGTCTCCATACACACACAGTGGTTGGCCGGTAGGGGATATTGCATTGTGTTGCAACATTGGGAGCAACCCTGATTCTCTGAGCATTCCAGCATCGTGTTTTCTTCCCTCTGAAAGGTAAAAAAGGAAAGTGCCTTCGGTATGGTCAAGCATTCTGACTGGGAAATGCTAATTCCTGTATATGGGTGGCAAACATAGTAAACCTTCTTCAGTGTAAAACTGTAAAACTTTTTTCTGTTTCTGACCTGTTTTTTCCCGATATGATTCATATGCATTAATCCACTTCAAATATGGGACACTTAACAGGCAAAATTTCACAGTAATCCTAGCAAATGTTTTTTATTTTTACGAGATCATACATCAGATTCTTACCAACTGGACCATATAAATGGGCGATAAGACCATTTGGGATGGCTACAGCCTGGAATTTTAAGCTGTGTACACGCTTGTGCCCATTATAAAGGATTCGTTGGTTTGTTCCTGGCCTGGCTATCGGACGCACTGTCCCGTCGATAAAACCAAAACAGTTATTTAGAGGTGCTCCATGTTGATGTATACAATCAGCATACGTTTGCAGGGCAGGTGGATTCAATACGGCCAGATTCCAGTCGGTAATTCTTCGGCAATGGGCTTCGTAAATGAAGTCCAGAACACAGTTTGTAGCCAGGCACATTACCGATACAGGTCGTTGTCCGAACCTGTGCAACATATCACTGTATCGACACGGGTATGTCAGCCTCTTCAGCAACATGCATAGTGCCTCCATTCCTCCTACAACACTTCTTTGTTCCAAGACAAATTGGTCAGGGATTCCTAAAACCTCTGCTAGAATAGGAAGGTCGTTTTTATGGACCCGAAACTCCGCCAAGCACTCGTCGTTTTGCATGTCGTCGAGATCAAAAAGTGGGTACTGCTCGTAAGGAAAATCTAAGTTAGTTGACCTATTCACATCATACAGGAGTAGAAACTCCTCTTCTGTAATTAACCTTTCATCGAATGCATAGAGCAAATGTTCTCGAGCCTTCTTTAGGGACATTTTCCCCTAAATATCTAGTTTTGTGTCCGAGTCTCTCCGACTATTTCGTTCACGCCGTAGTCAGGGATTGTTTTGGTTGCTAAACTATTTTTATTTTCGCGGGCTTTTGTGCGGACGGCGCCTTGTATCCCCAGTCCCGCGCGATCTAGTTCGCCGTAGCCGTCCTGAAAACCGTCGGTGCTAAAAGTCCCTACTGTGTGTTCGTCGACGGCTGCGGCTATACATTTACCCTAGACGGCCAGAAATCATGATGGGGCGCGACAGGGAGTGGAGGGCGTACCGCCAAGTGTGCAGCCAACGACGACGAAACTTGACTATGACCATGGCAATACAAGTACCTATCAAATGTTTTTCTCGGGAGTTGCTGGAGCAATGAATACTGTGTCGGGTTTTCGGTGACTTTCTAGCACGGGCGAGGAAAAAAAGGAACTCGATAAGTCGGCGGTCTTTGCGTATGACGGGGTGCCTGGCAGCCACCTAGATTTGGCCATTCCCGCTCCATACGTACACAGCTTATGCTTCCCCCCTCGACATCAAACCTACCTCCCAAAATGTTTAAATAGCGAGGTTTTTAAGGGATATACATTTAACGGACTGAAATTCAGGCCAAATTTGTTTCAATTTCTATTGTTTAATTGAAAATCGATTTTTGTATATTAAATGTAAAGAACACTCAATTGATTGTACAAGCACATTAATGTTTGTCTTATCCATCCTAAGGTTGTCCAGGAATGCTATTGAATTGCAAACAGTGTCGTAAAAATGTTAATGAATAGAGTTTGTACTTTAATGTCTGTCAGTTGTCCCTATTGACTTTCAAGATAGTATTAATGAAAGTATATTTCTCTCTTTTGTATGCCCAATGACGCATATGAATGCCCAAAAGTGTTTTGAATTTTGATTAAAATGCAAAATCGTAATTGAATCTGATTTATGCGCAAATGTTCGTATTTTCGCGCTAATGAATGTATCTTTGCACTATTGGTCGCCGTTTCACGCAAAAGACTGCGTATTTTCTCGTAATGAACAGCAAAAGGGACATTGGCCTAGTAAGCTGAGCTTGTTTTTGTACTGTTTTAGACCACAGTGACTTACAATACATTTGTGGCGGTCTAACAGTAATAATAATTTCAAAGTGTTTTATGTACTGAAGGAGTTTCAAGTGGCTTTTCAATTACGGTACGCGATATCTACATTCCGGTTGTTTATTAAAGAAAACACAGCTGTGCAAGAAGCCCCGGGGGAGCACTCAAGGGAAGTCTGGGTAGAGGTGTGCCTCCGAGGCCCGCAAACTCCGATCCTGTTTCAGACAAAAACTGCTCATTTCGCTACTCTGTTTAAGACAGGAGATACTAATTTCCGACCCTGATTTGCGTTGTTTTGCATGCAGAATAAAGTAATTTTTCCGGCTAAAATCCTGGAAATAGATATTTAGGAAAAAAATTATCGGTATTGCCAACGTGGACTGCTCATCACAAGTCTTCACACTCTTTGAAGAGCTCCCAGTCCAAAAAGACCCTGTTCAGATATACCATGTTGGAGACTCAAGACCTTGAAGGGACAAGAAGTGCGAATGCGATGTACGGTGTATTTGTCATTACGGTCCTGATTTATCACCGATAAATGTAATCAACCATAAATGTAATAAATCACTTACCATAAATGTAATAAAATTTTAACCATAAATGTAATAATCTGGCTCACCGTGAATGTAATACATTTTAGCCATAAATGTAAGAAGTATGAAAATCGTAAGAATGCGAGTACATTTCGTTATTTATGGCACGGGGGATGCTTTGTTATTAATTTCAGTTGGTTAACAATAATTTTGTACGGCTGTCAGCCATTTTGCATGTGTTTTTATTTCACGCTTCCTCGCTATCGTTTGCAAAGAAACTTTATTGCATTGTGTAACCTCTATTGGGACTCCAAAAGCGTTTAATGCTTTCTTCGCTGACCAATTAGAAACTTCATTTTTAGTTTAGTAATTATTATAAACGGATTATAGAATTATGAAATGTAGCTTATGTTAATACCACAAGGTTGTCACCAGGAGTCACCTGACGACTTATTTTGATTTGGCTCCCAAGAGTATTTATGTTTGATATGTGTCCTGTTTTGATTGAGCGAAAATTTTATGAATACTGTATAACCAAAGAGATTACCTATCAAATTTTAAAATGTACTTTCTTCGTATGGGTAAGGAGCGCGCATATGGGGACAAGTTCATGAGGTACTGAGGAATGAGCCTGTCTTCCATTCCACATTCATTTTTACAAGTTCGACCTTCCTGCTGAACACGAATGACAATTGCTATTTAATTTCTATTTTTAACTAGTTATTTATTTTTGAAGTAAATTTCTCTAATACATTGCACCTTGCCATTTTACAGGAAGGAACCTGTTTGTTTATAGCTATGTTTTATATCACTATAAGTTTATTTGGTCCGTGTCCTCTACCAGCAAGAGGTGAATCTATGAACACTTTAATGCGACATTCCCCCTTTATGAATAATTAGTTGTACTGAATTCGTCTCTCTGGCCTTAGACTGTATCGGTCCGTTGCTTCTTGCAATCATAAACTATATCTGTTGATAATACTCCATTAATTATATTTATGGTTAAAATTTATTACATTTATGGTCAACCAGATTATTACATTTATGGTTGAAATTTTATTACATATACCGTAAATGATCTAATAATTATATAAACGCCCACTTTCAAATAAACGCCTCTTATCTAACAAACGCCCCCCTACGCTGTTACTGTTTGTATTAAACGCCGCTCTCTAATAAAAGCCCTCTGTCTAATAAACGCACCCCGTGAAAATTGCTCTAAAATACTAGGAAATTGAGCTAAATCGCGAAATAGAGCAAAATCAATCAATTTATTAATTTCATTACTTGATTCATTGCTTCAGCGTTTGATTATAATATGAAAACAAGTCGCACTCGTTAAAGCACCCTCTTGATTGTAGCAAAAGGGAAAAAATATCAGCCCTCAGTCGAGATTCTGTTAACACACAAACGTTTTTGGCCGAAAGCATACTGTTTACAGTTTTGTTGAGTTCGTTAAAATAAGTTACGAGAACAGACGCCTGTCTCAAATAAACGCCTCTATTTTGTAAATTGTTGATGGAATCTGGTCACCTCCCTTTTTCTCTAAAAACTGCCGTCTTATCACGGTTACTCAAGAGATCTTCTCTGGATTAGAGGCCTATCTCAAATCTCAAAGTTATTTTTAAAATTATGGAAAAAATTCTGGCTGTACCTCTCCAAGACTACCTTGAATTAAAACAACTCAATGAACCTCTACAATCAGCCTATAAGCGATTTCATAGCCACTGGTAGGAGAGTTCCTAAATTTATATCTTTAAAAATGATAAGTAGTAATAAAGCCTTTATCTTGCCATACCTGGAATACTGTGCTCCATTCTTAGTTGCGCTTTTATCTAGTATCTGGTCTTTTTAAATTACTGGAACTCACTAATCAGTTCGTTATTAGAGCTCTTATGAATAAGCTTAAGTCAACTTCGTGTAGTGACCTTCTTACCCTTGTTGACCTTAAGACCCCGGAGCATCGCAGATATTCACTAGCTCTCGTCCTTTGTCACAAATTTATGTACGATAAGGGGCCGAATTATTGCAAGGAAATGTTTTTATCGCGCCAGAGTGAAAATGACCTTAGAGGTTTTCGGAAGGTCAATCACTTTACCTATAATTTTAGATACGTGCATAGGTCATAAAATTACATGACCTCAAGATTATGGAACAATCTACCTTATTACGACAGAAGAGCGTCCATCCCTAAACAATTTATAATAAGTAAATGCTTCATAGGGTCAACCTGTCTAAAGACGTTTAGTGTAGCTGATTTTTTTGTATCTAGTTTGAATTTAGATTTTATTGACCTTATTCAGTGAAAGGTTTGAACCCAGGAGTCATTTCAAAAGTAGGTTGAGTTTGATCGTCCGGGTGAACGTAGTCCTGAATAGGACTGTTTTTGTTGAAAGTGACTGACGTTTCGACAACCTGTGCGGTAGGCATCTTCAGAGTCAAAGTGAGTTGTATCACGTCAGTTGATGGTATTATACTCTGGTTATTGATCCAATTAGTCAAATACGTCGCGATGTTATTGGTCGTCTGTCAGTTAAGCCGTGATGTTATTGGGTATGAAGACTCGTAATCAGTAATTGGTGCGTTTCGATCCGTCTATTGTCACAGGTTAACAGTCGTCTATTGTTAGTCCAGTTGTCAGTTCTCCAGTCGTTCTCTCGTAGTTAGTTTTGCCTGATCTCGTCAATAAGTCTTTTGTACGGCGCTGGTAACTGTTGGCTACGATTCGGTGGCGTTTGTTCTAAGTTAGTAAACCAGCTTTCTAAAGTAAGACGTTGATAGTAGTCTGTGGAATACGTTATACATGTCGCAGAGTCCCAGTCAATTTGATGTTTCGTCTGTAAATGGTGCTCAGCAATGTGATTGTTGACGTCACCATTCCTCGTCGCTCGTTTGTGTTCGGTCAGCCGCGTGCTTAGGTTTCTGCCGGTTTCACCAATGTAAGAAGCCCGGCAGTCGCAGCATTTGATCTTGTATACTGCTCCCTGTCTGTCCTCCAGTTTGTCTCTTCGTCCTTGACATTAGTAAGAAGTCGCCGTAAAGTGGTTATTATCGGTTTGTGTGCAACACGTATATTGTAAGGTTGTAATATACGTGCAATAGTTTCAGAGGTGCCTCTGATGTACGGTATAGTCGCTGTCGTAACAGGGCCAGAGTTGGTCTGAGTCTTGGAATCAGTGTTACTGTGAGTGTTCCGTCTAACAAAGTCCGTGTTGTAATTGTTCTTACTATAAAACGTTGTTAAGATAATCAGTCTCGTGTGATAGGCTATCAGGTGAGTCGCAAACTAGTTGCGCTCGTCTCGTCAGAGTCCGGACTAGTTCCCCCCCCCCCCCCCCCCCCCCTCCCTCTCCGCCCCCTATGCCCCACCCAAACACGATAC